GAAGTCAAGGTTATTTCTGTGGTAGATGTTGCAGTAGATGAAGTTTATGGTAAGTGGTCAGTAGTAATTTGTAAAGGACTGGTAGTGCTGTTACAGGTTATCGAGGTAAATTTGTTTTTGACCCCTTTGGGGATGAGGTTCGAATGTCATGTAGTAGTATAGGTAACAAATAATGATGTGGGTTGGACGCGGACATGAAAGTGAAGTATATAGCGGTACTACTGGGCGTGGGGAGTGTCGGGGAGAGACTAGAGTACGTTATGATAATTTCTCTTTCTCTTTTAGATACTAGATTTTACTCTCCTGAAAAATAGGGCACCTGCGAAAGTAAGGTGTCCTTTTACCTAACAGTAAAAGGATTGTGTTTCATTGCAGTGAAAACATGGTCCTGTCTCTCTCAAGATGGGGCACTCTGCCTGTAGCTTGAAAAAATTGCCAGGTGGTCGTAACTCCAACAGTTGCAACATTATAAAAGGTATACAAAACCGACAAATTGATAAGTAAGACATGTGCAGCACTAGATATCTTTACTGACGAAACGTTTCGCTAGTCCAATACAGAGATGAATCACACTCCTTTTGACATCATTGTTGGTAGAACACGAACGAAATGAAGTGGAAATGTAGCTTGTTGTAATCAGTCCATCAACCTTGGTGTAAGATGATCATTCTTAGCCTGAACAGAAGTAGTTGGCCAGAGACGTATGCAGGAAGGCGAAGTGTATTATTATTATAATCAAAAAGAAGCGCTAAGCCACAAGGGCTATACAGCGCTGCAGGGTAGGGAAGGAAGCGAGGGTATTGGATGGCAGAAGGGAGGAGGGATGATCAGTAGGTTACAGAAAACAGCAGGGCAGGGGATAGTACGGGGGTAGGGGGTAGCAAGAGATTGAAGTAGAAAGGGCTGAAGGTATCAGAATTTGTGAAGTAAGTCAGTTGTTGTCAAAAAGTCAATGAAAGAGTCTGGATGAAAGGTGGGTCCATCAGCAAGAAGGGAAGGTAAAGAGAGAGCAGCAGAGCGAAGACGACGACAGAGGTAAATTCTGCGTGCTCGTTGATAAAGTGGGCAGTCCAACAGAATGTGGCTGACTGATAATGGAACTTGGCAATTCTCACAGAGAGGAGCAGGGCGCCTCTCCATGAGATATCCATGAGTAAGACGAGTATGGCCAGTGCGAAGACGGGAGAGAGTAGTCTCCCAACCTCGACACTGGTGATAAGAAGACGGCCAGTAACCTATACTCGGTTTAATAGATTGAAGTTTGTTGCCGAGCATAGTAGACCAACGTTGTTGCCAACGGGTGTGAAGTTGGGAAGATATTGCAGCAAAATAGTCCATAAATGGAATACCTCTACATGAAACTGGTAGGTCATGTACTGCTGACCGCGCAGCAGTGTCTGCCTGTTCATTGCCCTGTACGTCAACATGACCAGGGACCCAACAAAAAACAATATCTTTATGCTTGGTAAAGATGCGGCGTAGCCAAAGTTGGATACGGAGGACTAAGGGGTGAGGTGTATCAAATTTCTGTA